AAAWWAAGTTAAGCCCGATGCTTAGGCTGGATTTAGCACAACCGTATCTAAAATGACTAACCAGATGCTAAAGTTAGCATACCGAATGCTAAAATAATAAACTAGATGCTAAAACTAGCAAAACATGCACTAAAATTCAAAAGCTAGATGCTAAAGCTGAAATAAGCAAAACCATGTCTAAAATGACTAAACACATTCTAAAATTAGCATACCAAATGCTAAAATAATGCACTAGATGCTAAAATTATAAAAAACATCCACTATAATACAGCTTCTTCAGCTAACCATATGCTAATATTAGCAAGCTAGAAGCTAAAGCTGAAATTAGCTAAATCATATACCAAATCAATTCAATTCAATTCAAAAATACTTTATTGATCCCAGATGGAAATTAGGTGTTGTTGTAACTCGTTTAACTAAAAACTTATTGTAGATGCTGAAATAATAAACTAGATGCTAAAACTAGCAAAGCATTCAGCTTCTTCATCTAACCATATGCTAATATTAGCAAGCTAGATGCTAAAGCTGAAATTAGCAAAACCGTATCTAAAATGACTAAACAGATTCTAAAGTTGGCCTACTAAATGCTAAAATGACAAACTAGATGCTAAAATTAGCAAAACATACACTAAAATTCAGCTTCTTCAGCTAACCATACGCTAATATTAGCAAGCTAGATGCTAAAGCTGAAATAAGCGAAACCATTTAAAATGACTAACCATATGCTAATGTTAGCATACCAAATGCTAAAATAATAAACTAGATGCTAAAATTAGCAAAACATACAATAAAATTTATTTCTTCGGCTAACCATATGCTAATATTAGCAAACTAGATGCTAAAGCTGAAATTAGCAAAACCGTATCTAAAATGACTAAACAGATTCAAAAGTTGGCCTACTAAATGCTAAATTAACAAACTAGATGCTAAAATTAGCAAAACATACACTAAAATTCAGCTTCTTCAGCTAACCATATGCTAATATTAGCAAGCTAGAAGCTGAAGCTGAAATGAGCGAAACCATATAAAATGACTAACCAGATGCTAAAGTTAGCATACCAAATGCTAAAATAATAAACTAGATGCTAAAATTAGCAAAACATACACTAAAATTCAGCTTCTTCAGCTAACCATATGCTAATATTAGCAAGCTAGATGCTGAAGCTGAAATACGCGAAACCATATAAAAGGACTAACCATATGCTAAAGTTAGCATACCAGATGCTAAAATAATAAACTAGATGCTAAAATTAGCAAAACATACACTAAAATTCAGCTTCTTCAGCTAACCATATGCTAATATTAGCAAACTAGATGCTAAAGCTGAAATTAGCAAAACCGTATATCTAAAATTACTAAATTAGATGCTAAAATTAGCAATACATCCATTGAATTCAGCTTCTTCAGCTAACCAGATGCTGAACAAGCAAACTAGACGCCTARATAAACAAATTGTGGCTAACTGTACTTGTCTGTGCGCATTATTTTTGGATTTAAAAAAACAACAACAACCATTAAGACATTTTACATTCGCCCCAAATCAAGGCTCTATCTGGATGTTGAAGGTACTGATAATACTTATAATATTATTTCATGTTTACTCACCGTGGTATTCAGCCCAGCCGAATCCTCGGACTATATCCACCTCCGAGTCATCTCCCTCCTCCCGGCTGTGAACTCTGATCAGGACGTATTTAAACACTCCGGACGGATCGATGTCTGCCTGCGGGATGTTGGCCATGACAGCCGCAGCCTTCGTCTGGGTGCACATCACTCCAAAACTCCCCGGAAAACCGACCAGGAGACCGAGGATTCGGATTCTCTTAAAGGTTTCCGCGTCGCTTCTCCCCGAAAATCCAGCAGTTTGCGTCTCCTTTGTGTTATAAAAGTCTAAATGTATATTTAATACAAAGAAAGACTAAAGTTAAKTGGCGGAGAAACTTTCAATGGGTTTCAAGCGGCTCCTCTGCGATCATGTACTATTCCGCCATGTTGCAATTAGCAGCAACAAATTTACTTCCTGTTTGGACCTTCAAATTAAAATATATTTCACCCACTTTTCATAAATAAATAAATTGATGTTTTGTTTCACTTGACTAAAATGAAGTTAAATCCATATTATGCATCATGAAATAAATTTGTTTTTAATTTTATTTCCGAGCATAAGCTTATTGCTTAATTTGCTTTTATTCTGAAGGCAAAGGAATATTACCGGAAATACTTCTATTTTGCATAAAACAGGCATTCTGGTAGTTGCAGTTCAAGTAAAAAAGCTAAATAAATAAAAATGAACCAGATTTTGATATTTAGGATGCCAATAAATAAACAGAATAGCAAAAAAAAAAAACCTCTAAAGGA